AAAGATAGTATTTGAATATTTCTATTAAAAATCAGATTTTCTCAAAGAACGTTTTCCATTTTCATCAAAAATCTAGATCAATACATATAACAGATAAATTGGCATTAAAACAGTAAAATGTTAATATTTCTACAATGTAATTGTACAGAAAATCAAAATATTTAACATAATATAAATAAAAACACAAGTCGGTGATTTTGGTTTAAAGGAACGTGTTTTCGTACTTGTATAATATATAAATCTTCACAGTTTATTTACTGTATCAATGGCTAAAGATAAATCAGAAATAAATGAATTTCTATTAAAAGTTTTTCATGGGGGTAGCTCATATTTATAACGATATGTTTTCGACCATAAAAAAGCATGACAAAGGGGAGTTTTGTATTGAAATAATATTAACCCTAAATTCTGGTATTTCTTCAGGGTCAAGTGGGCACTTAATTAAAGATAAAACTGTTATTTTGTCCTGCATGTTTTTATATTATTGACAGTATTTACACGTGTCTATTGTTATCAACATGCTGTGTATCACGGGTAATGTTAAACATCAAATAAAAATCACAATAACAATCGTCCATTATGATCACAAAAATATGAAATCAAATCATAATTATTCAAATTATCACAACAAAACATCTAAACGAAATCATACTATAATAAAAAAAAACATTCAAATTATCACAGGCCTAGGGTGGTTCGTATACCACATCATTTATTTTTTTTAATTTTGAATTAAAAAACTGGAATATAATTATAAAACATAATTTTGAATCAAAAACTTGTATTCTACCAGTATTATTATTATTATTATTATAATGTTGGTCCATTATATTGACAGAATAATTACCGTAGTTTATTTAGAACATGTTTAATGTTTTAATTCATGATTTAATTTTACTCATTTTTATTTTATTTTTGCTGAATTATCATTTACATGTAATTGTACATATTTAAAAAAAGAAAACAAAAATAGTACACAAAAATGATAATTCAGCGGACAAAAATAAAAAAGTAGAATAATCTAAAAAATAAAAAAATTATACTGATACTTTTTTCGATACTATGATCTTTAGAGTAGGTTATTTTCTGATACACCTACACTTTTCGTAATACACCTACACTTTTGGTGATACACCTACACTTTTCGTGATACACCTACACTTTTCGTGATACACCTACACTTTTCGTGATACATCTACACTTTTCGTGATACACCTACACTTTTCGTGATACACCTACACTTTTCGTGATACACCTACACTTTTCGTGATACACCTACACTTTCGTGAAATATATGCCGCTGAGTATCTGAAAAGTCTAGATTTGCTCCCAAAAATGGCGGGATACAATAAAAACAACAGTTAATTCATAATCTTTATTAAAATTTATCATTGAAAGAGTTTCTTCATTGTCTGTCTTTAAACATAGTGTTCTTTTTTCTGAAAATACAAATATTGCATTTTAAACACAAAATATATGTACCGATACATAGGATAAATTTGTATAATTTCAATGTTCAATGCACTATGAAGAATAACAATATTAAAATTTAGAACAATGTAGTTTGATTCGGAATGATATTTTAAATTTTCGATTGCATGTCATTAGAATATCTGTTGATTGATAGACATTTAAGGTATACACACTTCTTCCCTCTAAGAAATATCAGGTAAAAAATGATTTAAAAAAATCTTGAAGATTTTGATACATTTCTAAATTATAATTTTTTTCATTAATTCATACGCTAAAACATCTACGGCCAGCAATACCTTAGACTTGATATTTCAATCCATACAAAAATTTGTTGTCAGTCGTGAATGACTATAAATACCTTACCTAAATTCAATCTTCTGTTTGCTTCAATCCTTTTTCTCTAGATAATTTTCCACAAAATTCATTATAATCCCAACGATAATCCTTGCTAAAAAAATTAGCACATTACTAGGTTTATTAAATGCTGTTAATCCAATGTGTATATTCGTGGAGAAAGAAGCAGCAAAAAAATCTTCATATCACATGGTAAAATAATATTTTCTGTTTCTGTTCTATAGATTAGATATAAAATAAGATACTATTCGTGTCAAATTCTTCCACAAATGATGTTGAAATCTGTATATGAAATGTCCTGTGAACTGGCGTTTGGCTTCATAATGGCTCGATATTATTAGTTGAAACCTTTAGAATACGTAGGAGACATATTTCTCAACAATTAGGCGTTTATTGTATTCAAGCCCGTTCAGTAGTTTTCTAACAGCTTCCAAAAATCATAACGAACTTAAAAACTTTACGTAATATTTTAAAATAGTTTTGCCGTTACAAAATTAACGGCTGGAGTTTTTTTAGTTGAAACTTTCAGAAACATAAAGATTGATTGTGGTGTATAGTTTTCACAAATTAAAGCGAACAAAGTTTTCAACCCATAAAAAAGCGGAAAGTCTTTTAATTTATGCGCCTTACAATTCCATGTCTGTTGTTCTATCTGCTTTAATTGATAGTACCAAAAAATATGAGCCTGTAAGCAATTTTTTTTATGTTGTTGGGTCCCACTCGAACCATAGTAGATGTAACATTTCCTTATTAGCTCACGGTTCGCCCTTTTTGGAGGTCTTGAACATATGTAAATGGTACTAGAACTGCACGCAATCCCTTCAAATATACTTTTAACTAGGAAAAGGCGAGTCGTCAGTTTAATTTTCAAACGCGAATAATTCTGTAAATACATAGATTTGAATGTTTCAATTGCGAAGGTGAGCTGAGAATACTGTTACTGATTAGCTTTATTAACGAATTCCCGTTTCTGAGACTATGATACGATTGGTCTAACAGCTGGCGAACGTGTCTCTTTAACTGCACATGTATAATTTTGAAATATATTTTAGACCACACAATACTGACCCTAACCCTAATACTTGTTAAATGAAAAGTAAAAACTAATTACTTTATGATTCATGTCATTGTAATATCAGTTCTCTATTGAATGAAAATATACAAAAGCTACACCGAATTACCCAACACAAAACATTACTGGTGAATACATTTTAATAAAACATACGACACGACAGATATGAATAGCCCGGCCTCGTGCCATCTCGACCCAGGTCACCAACGGAGAGAGAAATCAGGCATTAACAAGTAACATTCTTTTTTGAATTAAAAACTTATATCAGTTAGAAATTATAAAAGGTTTTGATTAAAAAACCGACTCGTTTATTAAAACGAGATAAAAAAAAATTGTAAAAAAATGATCTGCTCTAATTGTATATGATATAACGTTTATTATTTAACTGATTTCAACTTGGATAACGAACAATTCACAGCAATGTATCGTAAAACAGCCGGCTTAAGGGTGGCATTCATAATATTGTCTCTTTACTACCAAAAAAAAAAATCTCAGCCCAATGAGTTAAGTCTCTTTTCAACCATGAAATTTTATAGCATTTTGTCAAATAAAATTTGTTAACTCACGGGAATTGGAATTTCCATTTAAAACTACCAAACGCCGATATAGCGAGATAGTCACTCTATTCACTAGTTTGTATTTATTGTATTCACTAGCTTTTATGTGTTGTATTCACTAGTTTTTATGTGTTGTATTCACTAGCTTTTATGTGTTGTATTCACTAGTTTTTTATCCGTTGTATTCACTAGTTATTATCTGTTGTATTCACTTGTTTTATCTGTTGTATTCACTAGTTTTTATCTGTTGTATTCACTAGTTTTATCTGTTGTATTCACTAGTTTTATCTGTTGTATTCACTAGTTTTATCTGTTGTATTCGCTAATTACATCTGTTGTATTCACTAGTTTCATCTGTTGTATTCACTAGTTTTATCTATTGTATTCACTAGTTTTATCTGTTGTATTCACTAGTTTTATCTGTTGTATTCACTAGTTTTTATCTGTTGTATTCACTAGTTTTATCTGTTGTATTCACTAATTACATCTGTTGTATTCACTAGTTTCATATGTTGCATTCACTAGTTTTTATCTGTTGTATTCACTAGTTTTATCTGTTGTATTCACTAGTTTTTTTTAACTTTGTATATACTAGTTTTATCTGTTGTATTCACTAGTTTTATCTGTTGTATTCACTAGTTTTATCTGTTGCATTCACTAGTTTTTATCTGTTGTATTCACTAGTTTTATCTGTTGTATTCACTAGTTACATCTGCTGTATTCACAAGATTCATATGTTGCATTCAATTGTTTTTATCTGTTGTATTCACTAGTTTTATCTGTTGTATTCACTAGTTTTATCTGTTGTATTCACTAGTTTTTATCTGTTGTATTCAATAGTTTTATCTGTTGTATTCACTAGTTACATCTGCTGTCTTCACAAGATTCATATGTTGTTTCCTTCACTAGTTTTTATCTGTTGTATTCACTAGTTTTATCTGTTGTATTCACTAGTTTTATCTGTAATATTCACTAGTTTTATCTGTTGTATTCACTAGTTTTTATCTGATGTATTCACTAGTTTTTATCTGTTGTATTCACTAGTTACATCTGCTGTATTCACAAGATTCATATGTTGCATTCACTAGTTTTTATCTGTTGTATTCACTAGTTTTATCTGTTGTATTCACTAGTTTTATCTGTTGTATTCACTAGGTTTTTATCTGTTGTATTCACTAGTTACATCTGCTGTATTCACAAGATTCATATGTTGCATTCACTAGTTTTTATCTGTTGTATTCACTAGTTTTATCTGTTGTATTCACAATATTCATATGTTGCATTCACTAGTTTTATCTGTTGTATTCACTAGTTTTTATCTGTTGTATTCACTAGTTTTAACTGTTGTATTCACATCTAGATGTGCACAATTATGAAAATTATTATTATTGACACCAGAAACCATTCTTTGTCTTTAGACACCTCAGAGATTACGTTACACGTGGCACAAATTTGGATTTGTCCAGTTATTGTCTTAAGTATAATCTAATTTTGTAACATACTTTCCACTTTTAATTTTTAACTCTTCAGGTTGTAAAGTAGACATGGCTGGGAAAACTGAATTTCTACTGATAATATTAGTAGCTATACTGACATCTCTTATACAGATTAGATCAGGTACTACTTGTTTTATTATTTGATTTTATAATTTGTATCCGGCATTACAATCTAGAATCAGTAGAATACAAAACGTCAATCAATTAAAGATGAGTTCCCTTATTTTCAATTATGAAAATGAAATTTCTGATACTTATATGAATAGAAGTAGAGGTATTCTAAAAATTGGAAAAATACCAGTTTGTCTCACATGTCCATAATTAATTCATAATTAGCTCAATACCAGCAGAATTCCAATGAGTGACCGATCAGAAAAGGTCAAAAAGTATTTTTTTGTTTATCCAGACTGGACATTTATGATTGGTTAAAACTCTTAATTATATGCAACAAGAACATGAAGATATGATTAAGAATACATGATAATTCATTAGAAACACCAATTATTCAAAAAGTTAGCTTAATTTGACTCTGAAAATTACGGAAACCCATCTTTAACATATCAATGAACAATTAAAATAAAACCCAGGTTATTATAATCATTTAACGACATTTAGGGGTAGAGATCACATTAAATAACGGAACACAATTTTATAGTGTTTTATACCATAAAATTGTGTTCCGTTATTTAATCAGATTATTATAGTCACATGGTAAAAGGCTCATTGAAATACGGTCGTATGTACATGGTAGTAAGGTGTTAGTATATTACTATACAGTAAAGTTCTGGGATCATGATACGTTTTGTGTCGCGAGATGGGGTATTGTGATAAGAACTCATTAACTTATAGAAACATTTATAGCTGTGATATTTGGTACAGTAGTTTTGGGATTTCTTATTTGATGCTACATACTTTTCTTTTTATATTATTTATTTACATGAAAATTTGTACATATTTGTATTTATGTTCATTTCTGTTACATAGTAAGAGCTATATTATGTATTTACTTCGCTTAATAAATTAATAATAAATAGTTGATAGGAGTGGTAAACGGCTACTGTATTATAAATAGTTAACAAATGTTTCAGTCAAGTCAGTGAGAACAATTGGTGATTCCATTCGCTGACTTTTCTCACCCTTATGGAATGAGAATTATAGTAAAGTATCGATACACGCCCTCGTGATACGAAACATGTATCGTGGCACGTATGATATCGCGATACATCGATTTGCCGATATATCGTGCCAGAAATATTTAATAAGCAACTTTTATTCATTTGTTTCGGAAGTTGTTGTATATTATTATGTAGCTATTAGCTACTTGTACTCTTTTGTTTCAGAAACATGTACTTTCACGAGAACCCCAGATACAAGGGGGCTTGGTGATGGAACGTATAAAGGAATTATTTCTTTGGATGAATGCGAAGAGGCGTGCCGTGTAGACAGTTCATGTGTAGCGGTTTATAGAAATCAACCTGTATGTTATTTTGCGTTGAATACACAGACAAGTCCAGAAACAGGAACAACACATTCTTTGAAATCTTGCGTTGATGATACAACTCCAGAGGCCACCACTCCAGACTGAATTAACATCACCTGAACCGACAACACCCCAACCGACAACACCTGAACCGACAACACCTGAACCGACAACACCTGAACCAACAACACCTGAACCGACAACACCTGAACCGACAACACCTGAACCGACAACACCTGAACAGACAACATCCGAACCGACAGCAGCAGCATCCAACCAGGGAAGCAGCACAGAAGGTATGATATATATTCACATTCCCAATATCACTTTGCTATTGACATTCGACTAAGATTCATAAGGGATACTTTTGGTTTTGGTGACGGTATAAATTCTCCGACGCTACTGACACACACCTCACACACTACCTATTCTCTACTCACACTACCCATAGTCTTCTCATACTCTACTAACACTCTACTCACACTCTACTCACACTACATATAGTCTACTCACATTCTACGCACACTACACATAGTCTACTCACAATCTACGCACACTACTCATACTCTACTCACACTCTACTCACACTCTATTCACACTCTACGCACACTCTATTCACACGCTTCTCACACTCTACTCACACTCTACACATACTCTACTCACATTCTACTCACACTACACATAGTCTACTCATACTCTACTCACACTCTACTCACACTCTACGCACACTACTCATACTCTACTCACACTCTACCCACACTACACATAGTCTTCTCATACTCTACTAACACTCTACTCACACTACACATAGTCTACTCACACTACACATAGTCTACTCACACTACATATAGTCTACTCACATTCTACGCACACTACACATAGTCTACTCACAATCTACGCACACTACTCATACTCTACTCACACTCTATCCACACTACACATAGTCTACTCACACTCTACTCACACTCTACCCACACTACACATAGTCTACTCACACTCTACTCACACTACACATAGTCTTCTCATACTCTACTAACACTCTACTCACACTCTACTCACACTACACATAGTCTACTCACTCTCTACGCACACTACACATAGTCTACTCACAATCTACGCACACTACTCATACTCTACTCACACTCTACGCACACTCTATTCACGCTCTACGCACACTCTATTCACACGCTTCTCACACTCTACTCACACTCTACACATACTCTACTCACATTCTACTCACACTACACATAGTCTACTCACACTCTAATCACATGACACATAGTCTACTCACACTCTATTCACCCCACACATAGTCTACTCACACTCTACTCACACTCTATTCACACTAAACATAGTCTACTCACACTCTACTCACATGACACATAGTCTACTCACACTCTATTCACCCTACACATAGTCTACTCACAATCTACTCACACACTACTCATACACTACTCATACTCTACTCACACTATACTCACATTCTACTCTTAATCTACTCACACCATATTCACACTACAATAGTCTACTCACACTCTACTCACACTACACATAGTCTCCTAATACTCTACTCATACTCTACTCACACTATACTCACATTCTTATCTTAATCTACTCACACTCTATTCACACTACAATACTCTACTCACACTCTACTCACACTACACATAGACTACTAACACTCTACTCACACTACACATAGTCTACTCACACTATACTCACATTCTACTCATACTCTACTCACACTCTACTTACCCTCTACTCATGCTCTACTCGTACTTTACTCATTATGTACTTACCCCCTACTCATGCTCTACTCGTACGTTACTCATAATCTACTCACACTCTACTAACCCTCTACTCATACTCTACTCACACTCTACTCATACTCTATTCATACTCTATTCACACTCTACTTACCTTCTACTTACACTCTACTCTAACATTTCACACACACACTACTACTCATTTTACGTTGCATTCTGTTTTAGAAACATACACTCCCGCACTGACTACCCCAGAAACTACAACTCCTGAACCGACCACTCCCAAACCGACCACTCCCGAACCGACCGCTCTTGAACCCACCATTCCCGAAGCCACCACTCCTGAACCAACAACTGCCGAGGCTCAAACTTCTGAACCCACCACTCCTGAATCGATCACTCCCGAACCGACCACTCCTGAACCGACCACTCATGAACCGACCACTCCCGCACCGAACCTTCCTGAACCGACCACTCCTGAACCGACCTCTCCTGAACCGACCAATCCCGAAACGATCACTCTCGAACCCACCACAACTGTCGATACTACAACTTTCGAACCGACTACTCCCGAACCGACCACTCCTGAACCGACAACTCCCGAACCTACCACTCCCGAACCGACAACTCCCGAACCGACCACTTCCGAACAGACCTCTCCCGAACCGACCACTTCTGAACCGACCACTTCCGAACCCACCACTCCTGAACCGATCATTTCCGAACCCACCACTCCTGAAGCGACAACTCCCGAACCGATCACAACTGTCGCGACTACAACTTCCGAACTGACCACTCTCGAAACCACCATTCTCGAACCGACCACTCACGAACCGACCACTCCCGAACCGACTTCTCCTGAACCGACAAATCCCGAAACGATCACTCTCGAACCCACCACAACTGTCGATACTACAACTTTCGAACCGACCACTCCCGAACCGACTACTTCTGAACCGACAACTCCCAAACCGACCACTCCCGAACCGACCACTCCCGAACCGATCACTCCTGAACCGACCACTCCTGAACCAACCACTCCAGAACCGACCTCTCCTGAACCGACCACACCCGGACCTACCACTCCTGAACCGACCACTCCCGAACCAACAACTTCCGAACCGACAACTCCCGAACCCACCTCTTACAAACCGACCACTCACATACCGACCACTCACAAACCGACCATTCACAAACCGACTACACATAAGCCTTCAACTCTTGGATCCAACACCGGTGTCAGCCAACAGGGTAAGTTAAATCCTCGCTCTACAAATGATTTCAAGTCAATCTAAATAATACTAGTAATCTGCTGGCTTGTAAGACACGATAGTTTATGGTGCTTCGGTTGTTTCTCTGACTACGGTAAACTGCCGGTGTATCAAGCGCAGATTCGAATTGATACTATAGTTTTTACCACAATCCCAACTGCCAGAAATTTCACAAGACTATCGTATTTTTGATATTTTCTAATAAAAGACAATCTTTTTCAATGTTTCCACTTTTAAGTTGATTTTTCAATTTGACATTGTTGTAAATGTTATAGCAATGGTG